ATGAAAGTCCTTACTTCTCTCACCACTGAACTATATCTTGTTGGATAGGGTCAAATACTCACGTCTGTCCAGATCCTTCTGAATTTTGAGTTTTCATTCAAAGTGTTGATGTTGTCTGCACATTTGATGAGCTTCCCCCTTTATCCCCTCATCTAGATCTTTTCTAAAGATGTTGAAGAGCACTGGCCCCAATACAGAATCTTGAGGTATGCCACTGCATGGTTTTCCTCTATATAGATATATTTCTATTGAAGACTACATTCTCAGTGTGGTTGTTCAACCATTTATGCATCCATTTGGTGATAGTTCTGTCTATCAAACTTCCTTGTATCTTACCAAGAAAGTTGTGTTCTACTCTGTCAAAAGCCTTACTGAAATCCAAGTATACGACTGTGTTTCCTGGAAATTATCTTATATTTTTTGCCACCAAAAAGGGCACCAGGTCTTATTTTCAGGGGGAGGGGTGTCATCCACTGACTCACCTCACTTGCGTGCATCATCCCTGGCCTCTTTTTCGCTATCAGAGGCCTTCAGGAACTTCTTCGTCCAGCAAGGCTTGCAAGGCTTTCCTGAAGACTTCTGCAGCTGATAACAGAACTCTGGATTGATCCAGAACTCTGATATCAGCTACAGAGGCTTTTAGGAAAGCCTTGCCAGCTGCAGAAGAAATGGGCAGAGGTGTGCGAGGCCTGGCTACAACTGTTGGAAGGTAAGTAGTAAGGCAGCTCCACACACCCCATCCCATCCCTAGCTTAAAATTTTTACCTGTGCATCCTGGGTGGAGTCTTAATTAGGGCTTATTTGGGGAGTAGACATATATTGGGCACATGTGTAAAAATCAAGCTAAAACTTAGTTCTGAGTAGATCATATTTTCGGGCAAACACAATATATACAGAACACAGCACTTCCCTGATCTCCTTCTTTATCAAAGAAGGCAATAAGGCAATAATTCAGACATTTTTAGGAAGTGCATAAAAAGAGGTTGGATGGCTATCAAAAATGTTGGTCTAGATGAGTTTTAAGGTCACTTCCACTCTGATTCTATGAAAATCTACATCATTTTACAAATAAAAACAGAGCTCTGACAATGAGTAACTAATGATTTTAGCCACAGCAAGTCAACATGCCTGAATATTTTTAGTTTCTATTTTAAAAAGATAATTTATATCAATAACTACTAATACTTCCCTAAATTAGTAATAGTTCATTGGTGGTCAAAATAGAATTGCAAGTTATACTAATTCAAGTGGTTTGTGATGGGAAACAAGTGTAAAATAATTTTTTTCTTTTCATTAAGCAACCACAATGTGATGACCTGCTCTGTGAAAAATTAGAGGTCAATCATATAATGAGATTTGGTCCATGTACTGACTTGAATCATAGAATTTGCCCAGCTTCCTGTTCTAAATACATTGCCAACAAGATGATGGATTGAGCACATCAGTATCACTTAGCAGATTTAGCCAAAACAGATTATAATTGCTGCCATATGTTCATGAGGATTAGCAAGAATTTCAACGCCATTTATTTAAAAAAATTAAAAATCTAACCTGGTAAAAATATTAGAGCTTATATTTTATATCCTCTTTATCACATGTAAATGTTATAAATCAACTTCTGATTTACATTATTGCTAACGTTGGTGCATTACTAATATAAACTTTCAATTATTATTGTGTTATGTTTTCAGAGTGAATCTGTGACTGAGGCTTTTTAAGTAGCCTTGTAGGTCAACCACAATCTATTGTAAGATTGTAAATCAATCTCAATCTATTGTATGTAAACCAATCTCAGTCTATTCCCCACAATCAACTCTAATTAAAGATGAATTTGAACTAATACCTTGCTTGCTATTTAAACTTACACATACCAGCCTAAGTGACAATTCATATGATGTCAATATCCAGTAGTATCATAATTTAGAAGAAAGGTAAGCAATTCAGAAAGCATGAACCTGAACCTGTAATCATCTAATCTATAATTGATCAGATAAACAAATAATTGACATTAATAATGCTTGCTTATTTTTGAGGCACATCTTACCGATCATATTAAGTTATACTTTGCCATTGTTCTTGGTGACATGCCTGGTTCATTAACTAAGCTTATTTGCTAAGAATACCTTAATCACACATTAAGTTAGCCATAGGCAGTGATGGAATTCAAATAATTTAACAACAGGTTCTCTGCCCTAATGACCAAGAGGGGCTCAGTGGTCATGTGACTGGGTGGGCGTGGCCAACTCAATATCACTCAGGTCGATGGATGCTTCACCTTAGCTGTTACAATGTATTAGCTCTATAAAGTGAAAAAAACCAAAATGATATTTCTTCCAACAACCGGTTCTCCAAACTGCTTAGAAAGTTGACAACCGGTTCTCCCGAATAGATGCGAACTGGTTGAATCCAACCACTGGTAATAGGAGGAAACAAATTTTAATGCAAGCCAGAAGGAAAATGGCATGATATAATAATTTAATGTTTATACAAAAATCAAAGAATACAATGCAAAATGTTAAACATACTTCTTTAAAAAAGCATTGCTGTATAAACTACTATTTTCTTTTGAAATGTCCAGAAGTATCATCTACTTTTTTTTTAGGAAATTGCAAACCAATATTCTTCACATATCCAAAAGAATGCATCTTATGCAAAATGTTGGAGATAGAGACATAATATTAATAGAGCAATAAAGAAAAGTAGATTTATGGTATTATTCTTGGACCAAATGAAATTCTATTATTTTGGACAACTCTTCAAAGAAAATTGTAAAACCATGAATACAAAATGTAGCATGATAAAAATGTTTTCAGAATTATATTGTCTATGGATTAGATAGTTCAAAGATATGCAAGAGCACAGATATGTTACTGAAATTTGGTGCTGTTTATATTCTACAGGAAACCAATAGCCTTGAGTTTCTTGTCAATTTTAGAGAATTTTTCTGCGAATACCTACATTATCTTCACATAAAAAAATGAGTCTTGGCAAAAATCATTTGATTATCAATTGAGTAAATATATGTTTGAACAAAGAAATTCCTACAGTGTTTTATAAATTATAGTATTACATTTTTTATAATCTGTCCTATTACTTAAAGTATATAGATTATTCACTGTAAACGTAACTGTATCTGTACTCTGTAATTTTACTGTAATAATTTTCTTTATCTTATTTTATTTTATCAATATAGTTTTATTTTATTTCTATTCTAGGATAATCATTATATTATTAGTTCTGGTACTGGTGAACATTGATAGAGGAACACATCACTGACAAAATATGAAAGGTAATTCATCCCCATCAGCATTTTCTTCCTACATAATAAGTTATATAATATTTTATCATGCTTAAAGTTTATACTAATTAAATACTCAGCAGTCTCTATTTATTTATGTGTATTTGGCTATGCAAAGGCAGATCCAATTGTATTTGCTCAGAAGGTAGGAACTATCAGAAGTATAGACTAGACAAAGTTAAAAATATATCCTGGAAGAAAGCAGTAGTAAACTATTTTAATATTGTTGCCAAGATAAAACACAAATGCATTCATACAGTCACCAGGAATTGAGCATAACTCAAAGGAGGCTCCATTTTATATCACCATTCAACAAGGAAGCATAAAACAATTAAAAAACCAGAAAACTATCAAGCTAGAGAATCTAACAGTCCTGTCAAGATGTCAATATTATCAAGTAAACATTAATAAATTTAAGAATATCCTGTATTATAACTTTGATAATTGCTTAATTGTCACTAATGGCATCAGAAACTAATAAGTAGATTGAGTTTATGATTGAATGACTGATTGATTGATCAATCAAATTGATTCCCAAGGCTGACAAAGGGAAAATTCAACCATCTTCCATCCTCCCAACTCTGATGGTCTCTAAAAATTAAAAATTAATTAGTTGCCTTTATAAGTGAACTCTCTAAAATCTCAAAATACAAAGAATAAAGATTTGAGGTGATACAATATATTTGGATGAGGAAGAAGCCTTTTGGTGACAAAATATACCATATTTTTTTAACTATAAGACGCACCAGAGTATAAAACGCACCATGATTTTGAAGAGGTAAACTCTAAAAAAAAGTTTTTGCACTCTGCAGGCCTCCCAAACCCTCTGCACTCCTGGTTTTTTGCAAAGGGGACCGGGTTTCGGTAGGCCAAAAATGTTGTATTCAGTGTACCAGATTTTTACTCTCTTTTGGGGGGGGGGGAGGAAAGGTGCATCTTATACTCCGAAAAATATGGTAAATGTAAAAAATTGGGAGAGGAACAGAACATTACAGAAACTGACATTTAAAATAGCTAAATTGACTCCCGCATGTTTGCTTGTTTTGCTCATAAGTATAAGAATGCAATTAAAATATGCCCATGTGGGAATGCTATAGTACTATGATTATTTTGTGTCCAAAAGGCCTCTTTCTCATCCAAATATCACCTCAAATCTTTATTCTTCGTATTTTGAGATTTTAGAGGGGTCACTTATCAAGGCTAATTAATTTTTAATTTTCAGAGACCAACACAGTTGGGAGTTATGTGTTTTACTAACATCTGTGAAAAAGGTATGCTTACTATCAAGGATATTTAGGACGATTAAAGAATTATCAGTGCCTCTTAGAAAAGCCAGATTAGTATACATGTAATCCTCAATTTATGACCATAATTTAGGAATGAGTCATAGGTCATTGTGGTCATTAAGCAGTTTACCACAGGATCTGACTCAATCTTTTGACAACCATTGTAACTCTGACTGGTGATTAAGGGACCAATCATTAAGCAACTGTGATTGTGAGTTCTAATTCTGCCTTATCTAAGAAAGCACTGTGAAAAAGCATATTTATATGAGAAACAATTAGGCTGCCATCCTTTATTATAGAATGTTCTCATTCTCTATATGTGTGTTTGTATACATATGAGTGCACACACAGAAACACAGATTAATATTTTTCTTCCAGACAGATCAATAAAACTATTTCTGGCATAAAATCCTTACCCTGGCAGGTGCTGTTCTTCTCCTCATAACCTGCCTTACATATGCATTTTCCAATAGGCACCAGCCATTCCCCTTCAGCACTGCAATGCATCCTTGGGGGTTCATCAGTCATTGAATTGTTCACACATGACCCTAAGACTTCTAGTAGCTGTGAAGAATCAGCTCCAGTGATGGTGTCAGGAAAGATGGCAAGGTTTCGAATCACCAGAGGGCACTTTTTATAATAGACCCGGACAGATACCAGTGCAATGCAGGCACCCACGTCCTGAAAAGCAAGGTAAAAGCCCTTTTTGGTTAGAGGTCCAACATCCCTCACCTCTGTATTTAGCTTCATGACTCTATCTCCAAGATCTAATTCTGTAAAACTCTCATCTGCTGCAATAGTATCAATCTTGATGTATTGGTTTTCTTTCATATTCCTCCCATCTTCATAATCGGATTCAAAGTAATACATATTAAAAGTCTCTTTGCAAGTTCCAAGACCTCCTGGAAGGCTGTTACAGTCTCTAAGGGTAAATTTTAGTTCAATGAAGATCCGAGAAGCTCCTTTGTTAGAGATCCAGCTTGTCAAAAGCCAATTATTCTGAGTCTGTTCCATCACTCTACACACTTGATATGTGTGGATTGGTGCATAATTTTCATCCACCTCACCAATTTCTTCCCACTAGACAAAGAGGGGGAAGGGAGAAAGAAACAGGAAAAAAAATACAATTTTAAAAATCAGATTGCAAATGCCCACAATTCTACATCTGCTATTATAGAATGAGGCAAGTGATAATGAAAAAAAGAAAAATAAACTAAAAGTACCAAACCTTATCTATACCTTTAAATATTGAAGTAGATTTTTCCCCACAAGTTGCCCATAGCAGCTAAAAAAAACAGATTTACAATGTTCACCTAAGCTTTGCTTTCCAATTATTGATATATTAGATTTTTGTGATAAGTAACAAGATTGTAAAATAGGACAAAACTCACTTAACAACTATCTTGCTTAGCAACAGGAATGTTAGGGTCAATTGTGGTTATAAGCTGAAAACTATTGTACTGTATATAGAATCTTTTCAAAGCAGAACACCTAGAAATAATTTTGAAAATAGGAAAATAGCTTGCTTTGAAAAGAAAAGGATTCCTAAAAGGAAAAAAAAATGGCATAGCTGAAGTATTTGGTTAGAAGACAAATAAAGAAATTGATCATCAAAGTTTCCCATTTAATGGTAAGCATTTTAAGTGAATTCCTGTACTATAAATACTTCAAAGAAAAAGGTAAAATATTTTTTAATATTTTAAAAATAATAATTTTCCTGGACTAGGTTGCTAGCTTATTCAATTTATGACTGATTGAATAGTTTGTCTCCTATCTATATTTTCTAATAATGACATCAATTATTTCTGTTTCCTAACGTATTTGGTGCAAGTCTAGATTTTCTTAAAGTGTGAATATTAAGGAACCCATAAAACAAACATCCACTGTGAATAGGAATTCATGTTATCACAGGACCAGAGAGGCTACTGCTTTGGTCATAAATATGAAATAAACAATAAGATCTGGACTTGCCTACCTGATTTTCTCCGGAATAAGTAAGCAGTGTTACTTAGAACAATATTCAAATATACTACAATTTGAAGGTTATCTAGTGCTATTCAAACTGAAGAAACAATCTCTGGGAAACATAATAAAAATAATTTCTATGGTACCAAAAATTGGTACTACTACAATACTAAGGAAAGTATTTTGTCTACAATACTAAGGGAACTATTGTAGATGAAATACATGGCTAAAATGTCAGGATACTGCAGAAGTTCAGACCTGTATGTAGCAGTGGGGAGGAGTGAATAAAAGGAGGGTTTGGGGAGGAAGGGGAAGAGACAGAGGGAGTGCAAGAGAAAGAAGGAGGGGCTTGGCTGTGGGAAAAGGAAAAAAAGGAAAGGGAAGAAAAGGAGCAGGAAGCAGGGAAAGAGGAGGTGAAATCAAGTGGAAAAGTGGGGGTAAGGGGATAGGATAGCAGGGGCGTCTGTGGGCCAAGCCTGAGGGAGAGAAGGGAATAGGATATAGCAGGGGCTTCTGTGGGCCATGCCTGAGGGAGAGAAGAGTATAGGATATAGCAGGGGCTTCTGTGGGCCAACCCTAAGGGAGAGAAGAGTATAGGATAGCAGGGGCTTCTGTGGGCCAAGCCTGAAGAAGAGAAGAGTATAGGATATAGCAGGGGCTTCTGTGGGCCAAGCCTGAGAAAGAGAAGAGTATAGGCTATAGCAGGGGCTTCTGTGGGCCAGGCCTGAAGAAGAGAAGAGTATAGGATATCAGAGGCTTCTGTGGGCCAAGCCTGAGGGAGAGAAGGGAATAGGATAGCAGAGGCTTCTGTGGGCCAAGCCTGAGGGAGAGAAGGGAATAGGATAGCAGAGGCTTCTGTGGGCCAAGCCTGAGGGAGAGAAGGGAATAGGATAGCAAGGGCTTCTGTGGGCCAGTCCTGAGGGTGAGAAGAGTATAGGATATACCAGGGGCTTCTGTGGGCCAAGCCTGAAGAAGAGAAGAGTATAGGATAGCAGAGGCTTCTGTGGGTCAAACCTGAGAAAGAGAAGAGTATAGGATATAGCAGGGGCTTCTGTGGGCCAAGCCTGACGGAGAGAAGAGTATAGGATATCAGAGGCTTCTGTGGGCCAAGCCTGAGGGAGAGAAGGGAATAGGATAGCAGAGGCTTCTGTGGGCCAAGCCTGAGGGAGAGAAGGGAATAGGATACCAAGGGCTTCTGTGGGCCAGGCCTGAGGGAGAGAAGAGTATAGGATGTAGCAGGGGCTTCTGTGGGCCAAGCCTGAGGGAGAGAAGGGAATAGGATAGCAAGGGCTTCTGTGGGCCAGGCCTGAGGGTGAGAAGAGTATAGGATAAAGCAGGGGCTTCTGTGGGCCAAGCCTGAGGGAGAGAAGAGTATAGGATATCAGCGGCTTCTGTGGGCCAAGCCTGAGGGAGAGAAGAGTATAGGATATCAGAGGCTTCTGTGGGCCAAGCCTGAGGGAGAGAAGAGTATAGGATGTAGCAGGGGCTTCGGTGGGCCAAGCCTGAAGGAGAGAAGAGTATAGAATATAGCAGGGGCTTCTGTGGGCCAAGCCTGAGGGAGAGAAGGGAATAGGATAGCAAGGGCTTCTGTGGGCCAAGCCTGAAGGAGAGAAGAGTATAGGATAGCAGGGGCTTCTGTGGGCCAAGCCTGAGGGAGAGAAGAGTATAGGATGTAGCAGGGGCTTTTGTGGGCCAAGCCTGAAGAAGAGAAGAGTATAGAATATAGCAGGGGCTTCTGTGGGCCAAGCCTGAAGAAGAGAAGAGTATAGGATAGCAGGGGCTTCTGTAGGCCAAGCCTGAGGGAGAGAAGAGTATAGGATATAGCAGGGGCTTCTGTGGGCCAAGCCTGAGGCAGAGAAGAGTATAGGATATAGCAGGGGCTTCTGTAGGCCAAGCCTGAGGCAGAGAAGAGTATAGGATATAGCAGGGGCTTCTGTGTGCCAAGCCTGAGGGAGAGAAGAGTATAGGATATAGCAGGGGCTTCTGTGGGCCAAGCCTGATGAAGAGAAGAATATAGGATATCAGCGGCTTCTGTGGGCCAAGCCTAAAGAAAAGAAGAGAAGAGTATAGGATATAGCAGGGGCTTCTGTGGGCCAAGCCTGAGGAAGAGAAGAATATAGGATATCAGAGGTTTCTGTGGGCCAAGCCTGAAGAAGAGAAGAGTATAGGATAGCAGAGGCTTCTGCGGGCCAAGCCTGAGGGAGAGAAGAGTATAGGATATAGCAGGGGCTTCTGTGGGCCAAGCCTGAGGGAGAGAAGGGAATAGGATAGCAAGGGCTTCTGTGGGCCAAGCCTGAGGGTGAGAACAGTATAGGATATAGCAGGGGCTTCTGTGGGCCAAGCCTGAGGAGAGATGAATATAGGATAGGAGAGACTTCTGTGAGGCAAGCCTGAGGGGGAGAAGAGTTTGAGTGAAAGGAGGCAAGCAGAGGAAACAACGAAGTAGCAGAGGCTGTGGAAGGAGAGCCCAGCAGGCAGTTCAAGAGAGAGTGAAGATAGAGGAAGAAGCTCCAACCAGCCACCTGAATACTACCCCATCCGTGACCTGTCTGCTGAGAGGAGGCTGACTACCATCCCATCATGTGACCCTGTCAAGTAGAGGTGCATCAGAGAGGAAGCAGGTTGGACTGGCAGCCATACGAATAGGGCCAGGAGAACCCAGACTCCAGAGGCCCTTACAAGGTTTAGCGCTACATGTACCTATTTGACAAAACAACTTTTTCAATTAAAAAAATCTGGTCCCACTGCTTGAAAAAATATAGACCTTTCCAACATGGCACATTGAACATTAAGAACTCAACTCTATTTTTGAAATCTGAACACATTCTTATTTATATTCACTGTCATACAATTGTACAGCTTTTTTAAAAGCATCATTTTATAATTATTAAGAATCTCTTTCTTACATTTACCAATCACAACATCAGAATAGCATCAGAATATACATTCTGTTCTTTCAGTCTCTCATTATAACCAGATCAATAGCAGCCATTTCCTTTGCTTTTTGCTTTCAGGCAGGGATCATGGCTACCACACACAAAATTTATCTCTTTCATCAAGGGAAAAGACAGACATTTAAAAGCTGGCCATGTAAGTCTGCCCACAATCATAAGAGAAAATTGTAGTTGTAAAGAAAGCAGCTACAGATGTTTCCTTATGATTTCATCTTTCCTTCAGACTTCATCTTTATCTGAACAAATATCTATACAAAAGTGGCAAATATTACTGTCACCAACGTTTTGGTAAAGTCCTTTTTTGGTCTCCTTCCTTGAAGAGAAACATAATAAATGTTGGGGAGATCACAGGTCCAAGAAAACAATCATATAAAGATGGCAAAAACAGCTGACAGCATATTAAATATGTTTTTGGAAGGATATTCTTCCATAGATCAAGGTACATGCTAATGCTGCAAAAGTCACAATCTAATTAATTAATTATTCAGAAGGAAGTGATTTGCCAGATGCAGACTACAGATAGTTCTCCACTAAAAACAGTTCATTCAGTGACCTTTCAAAGTTACAATGGCACTGAAAAATGAGACCTATGACCATTTTTCACACATAGAACTGATGCTGTATCACCATGATCACCTGATCAAAATTCAGATGCTTGGCAACTTACTCATATTTATGATGGTTAAAAATAAGGTAATACAAATAACAGTTTGTATTCTACATTAAAATTAAATATGTTTTTAAGAAGAAGAAAGGAGATACTAATTTATTGAAAAAAGAGGCTGTTTAAGAAAAACATGCTTTTTACTTTGAACACACACTTCTTACTTTGATCATACCTACTTTCTCTCCCATACTCAAATGCAGTCTTAAACATATTCAACAAGATATGGATGAAGCTCATGATTATACACCCATAAGTAACGCAGTTCATCTATATATGATTCTTGTCAGATCTACAGCACATCAAAAATAAATATTTGTCTGTATCAACCTAGAGATGAGAATAGATTAATTAGGTAGTTCTCTAGCTTTTTTTCACCATTGAATCCCTTTTGTGGCCACAGACTATGACCATAGACCATCAAGATATAATCCACAATTTAAAGCACTAGACTGCATCTAGTATTCATGGACCCTGCGACAACATACACCTCTGGG